TAAAATGTTTTTAATTGTGTACCAGTTTAACGTTGAATGTTATTTATGATATTAACTTTATACCCAAGTGCCAAAATACTATAATTAGAAATTACCAGTTTCTTTTAATTTAAATAAAGATAGTAATGTCAAGCAAAGTGTTTTGAAATAATGGAATATTTAATATTAACCACACGAGAGGCCTAGTCATTAGAGCACTCTATTCGCAATCTAAGGGTCGAGGGATCGAATCCCCACACCGAACATGCTTGTCCTTTCAGCCGTGAGGATGTTATAACGTAGCGATCAATCCCAATATTCCTTAGTAAAAAGGTAGTCCAAGAGTTGGTGGTGGGTGATGTTGATTAGGTGTCTTTCTTCTAGTCTATTACTTGTAAATTATGGGTAGCTAGCGCAGATAGCCCTCGAGTAGTTTTGTGCGAAACTCAAAACAACGAAAGAAAGAAAGAAAAACTAACCCCACGAACCTGTTAAGCCCCCAGTGGCACAGCGGCATGTCTGCGGACTTACAACGCTAGAAAGCGGTTTTCGATACCCGTGGTGGGCAGAGCACAGATAGCCCTTGTGTAGCTTTGTGCACGGTTGATTAATAGTTCTTGTTCTGCAGAGGTAAAGTATATCAAAAAGTGCGACATGTTCGTTGATTAATAGTTCTTGTTCTGCAGAGGTAAAGCATATCAAAAAGTGCGACATGTTCGTTGATTAATAGTTCTTGTTCTGCAGAGGTAAAGCATATCAAAAAGTGCGACATGTTCGTTGATTAATATTTCTTGTTCTGCAGAGGTAAAAGCATTTCAAAAAGTGCGACATGTTCGCTGATTAATAGTTCTTGTTCTGACAGGTATAGTGTGACAAAGAGTACACTATATTCTTATGTAATAGTTCTTGTCTCGTACAGGTATAGTACAGCAATAAGTGCAGTATACTCTTTGTTTAATAGTTCTTTTTCTGGATATGTACAGTATAGTAAGGGGTGCTGTGTGTTTCTTGGTTAACAGTTTTTATTTTGTTACATGATTATATTTACACGTATGATTACTGTTGATTTTACTCGCTGTATTCTACATATAGTTTGTGAAAGTTCTCCGGTGGGACAGCGGTAATCTTACGGACTTACAATGCTAAAAATCCGATTCCCCGTGGTGGACACAGCCGCTAGCCCAATATGCGGAATTGCTCCAAAATAAACAAATAAATGAAACTGAAAAGAAACTCAACGTTACCTGATGGAGTGACTTGCCATCTCGTTACCATACCGCCAGTATTCGTGGGCAATGGTATAATCATTGTACTCGTGGGTGATGAAAAACGTTCCTGTAATAGGACAGCCACTTTTTTTGTTCTTCCTTCCAGTTCTGAAAATGTCATGGTAGGTGACGTTGTTCAAGATGTTCATTGCGTCATCAAAAGTGAGGAGGACGAACTGTGGAATGTCTTGGTTAGCGATATTATGGTAACTCAGACTGTTTTGTGCGCAGCGGCAGGCAGGTAATTTACAGTTTACGCCCTGTTTACATGTGGCTTGTCCACTTGATGTCCCAAGCAGACAGGTGATGACTATCAATGGAAAAACGTGCATGTTTAGTATTCTCACCAACTTCAGAAGTGCCCTAAGCCTTGTTCTGTCTTCTTGCTTTATAATGCTGAAGCTAAGAGAAAGCAGATGGTCAATTCCCACTTAAATCGATAAATCCCATTATTTCTTAGAAGCTTTTTTCTAATCAGATAACCTGATGTAAGATAGTTTTTGAAATACCCATTGTATTTGAACGAAATTTTACACATTTATTGAACAGCTCATCAGCAATAAAGCATCATGGGAACGAAATTCGGTATCTATAGTGTTGGAAGAAATTCTAATTACAGTTTTAATAACATTCATTTCAAATCCCGACCTAAGGACTTATCATACATATATTTGAAATAATTCGTGCGTCTCTAGAAATTAAATGATCTGAGTTAATTCAGTGATATTTTGTACCTTGGTATTAAGACACTCATCATGAATATCACGTTCTTTTTACGCTATGCAGTGCATGGCCTAATGGTTAATATGCTAATTTGTGGGTCCGTGGTTCGCGACCTGTTATCACACACATAATAACACTTTAAGGGCCTTATTAGAACGACGGTCAAGTTCTACTATTCGATTAGAGAAGTCAAGGAGTTAGTGCTGGGTAACATTGACTAGCTGCCTTCCCTCTAGTCTACCAGTTCGAAATTAGGGACGGCTAGCGCTGATAGCATTGTTGTAGCTTTACGCGAATATCCGAAACAATAAAACTGTTAAGACTTGCGGGTAAGAAGCCGTCCACCCACCATTTTTCTACTCCTACCTGCGCCATTATTCATCTTGAATAGCTTTTGGAAGGTTTGAATTTCGCTATTTTTATCCCCGAGTTAGGTAATTCCCACAATCCACTTACTGTTTTCTGTAGGAGTCTAAGCCTATAGCAAACAATTTGAGAACCCAGCAAAATGTAAATATTTGAATGAAACTGCAACTTCCTCAGTTTTTGTGGTTTTTATAAAAAATAAATAAATAATAACAGTATTCATAATGTTATCAAACAATGGACAACATGCCGTTTATTTAAAATAACATTTACCTATCCGTAATACAACTACTGTTCAAGTACTCCATATGTTACTTAAGTTTAATATTCATTTCTAGCCGTGTAACTGGGGTAGAGTAATGTGTGTATAGCCAGCCTAGGTTGGGTTTGTGGGTGCCTCGTATGTGTGTATTCGGGTTTGCTCTGTCACATGATATCCTAAACTTTTGCTTCTTTTTCTAACTTAGTAATTGGCTTAATATTAGTAAGGTACTCAGTGTTGGTGAAAAGAGAACTGTATATTCCACACACACGATTTAGTAAGTTACATTTCAGATGTAGGACCTACTATAGCTAATAGATAATATATTGGAGTTCGTTGGCAGTATTCAAATGTTAGTACTGTCCACAGCTCATTGTTAATGTACGTGTACGTTGTGTTACAGATTCAATGTTACATTTTTATAGGGTATTTAAAATACTGATCAAAATTAACTATAAATCAAAACTTCAATAATATATAATGGCTTAAGTCAATACTCCAGAAGATTAGCTTGTAATGATTACAATGCACAGAATTATTATTTTGGTACCTTTTTTTGTTAATGACATTTTCGGCCAATAGTATCATACGGCCAACTTGAGAAATATATGTTAGCCCTAAACCCACATAATAAATAGTGTAAATAAATGTTTATAAACGTAGCACTTGCAAGCTTAAACGCTGTAACCAGTAATATGTGATGAAACTGTCTATAAGGAAAAAAAGGAATAGGTCATAATGTTTAGAATCTGAATAGAATGAATCTATAGAAGTAAAAAAAAAAAATGTTTGTTTGTCTGCGGTCTTTGGACTAATTTCAATAAAATTTGATACTTTGGACCAAGAGGCATGATATAAGACGGTTATTACCTGGCCTCACCCACATTTGGCCACGCCCACAGTAAAAATATGTTTGTTTAGCCAATGACTCCAAAGCCTCGGACCAGTTTTTATTACTGAAACTTTTTATTTTAATTTTTTTAATTTTTGGGGAGAATATTTTGATTTTTCTCATTAAAAATGTCAAACATTAATATTTCTTGCCAGGAAGAATGGCAACCAAAGGCGCGAGGTCTGACCCTTAAAGTGGCAGAGCTATATCTGAAAACTCCGTGCATTTCACAGTTCTATGTTGGATGTTTAAGAGTTGGACCACCAAAAAAAAAATCTCCATTTTACCCCGAGAATGAGGGCGAACTTCAAGAAGCACTCAAGAGTATCAACAAACACTGGGGTTGTAGAGTGGAATTAGCAAAAGTAAGTAGAGTAATTGTAACACAATTTCTGTAATGGTGAATAAAGTACTTGTGGATTATTTGTGAAATCGATTATGCATGATTTAATATATTAGTTCAAGCCCTACATTCAATACTTATGCCCCCCGGACGTAGGACGGGTGCCTCAGCTTGTGTTTTATAATATTGCAACTTGAAATTGTGTACAAGTTTAAAAGAGAGAGAACGTTTTCATTTAACATGAAAGTAATCCAGTAATTATGTATATTAGAGACTTAACTTTCTGGAAAGCCGATTACGAATCAAGAAAATTGAACTATTGATTTTAACATTTCTAAGAACCCGTGAGAGAAGACATTTATTTATGTGATTTATGTTATTAGGGACACTGTAACCACCAAAGTTATATATCCACAAGTATCTGGGGCAAAGATAGATAAACAGTTTAGGAAAATGTATTTAAAGAGCTGATGGAGCCGGGTGGACCCCATCGATAGTTGTAGAATTAATATGTATAAAACTAGATCACCCATTTAAAATAAATTTTAAGCTCAAAAATATAAAACAACGTATAATCTCTCGGCAAATTAGGGATATGGATGATAATTAGTCCTCTGAAGAAAAAAAAGAAGCCAAGTATAAGGAGTAAATCAACCGAGAAAGTGTCAAAACTTTATTCCAAAAACAAACTAATGAGGTATAGACTAAAAATAAAAAGTATAAACTGCGGAAACATTTGATGAACCTGTTGTGCTGAAACAGCAAACACAGAGAAACGAGGCGTGGCATCGTAGAAATGGTTTGGTCTTTGTTCCAAAGCGCGTCATTGGTATTGACTGTATATATGTTTTATTAAATAGTTATGACGATGTTCGTATGTCAGTGACGTGGTCATCTCACAACTTGAAAATATATTTTATACATGTTGAATAATGAATGCGAACTGTAGGTTTTCAAAATATTTTCTGGAAAAGAATAGTATTTATTCTTTGTAATCAAACACAAAGCTACACGATGGGCTATCTGTGTTCTGCCCACCACGGGTATCAAAACCCGGATTCTAGCGTTGTAAGTCCGCAGACATACCGCTGTGCCACTGGGGGTGGGCGAAGAATAGTAAAAATATGGCTTGTATCATTCAAGGTGTAGAGTTTCAGCTAAAAAAAGTCAAAGAGAATATATTGGACACTCGAAGTAAATTGGTAAACCATGTTCCAAATATGAACTCAAACATATAGACTGAAGAATAACAATGATGAATTTCTACTCTGCAAACAGTTACAATTGTTGAAACCAAGCGAAGGATACTAGTGTTTAAAATTCATTATATCTCGCATATATATATATTTAATTACTGAAACCTACCTTAGCCTAAACAAGTCTTGATTTATGGTTTAAATATACAAATTGTTCACATATAAACCTATACCCCTCCCCCAATAGAGAAATTACTTCAAGTCGCTCTAGCCATTTGACGTTAAAACTCAAATAAGTATATTTGGTGATCGCACTAAAATATTTGTGGTTAGCACAAAGCTACACAATGGGCTTTCTATGTTGTGGCCACAACGAGTATGGAAACCCGGTTTTTGGTAATGTGAACCTTCAGACTTACCGCTTAGCCACTGGAGTGCCTGTACTAATAAAGGATAAAGAATATTCGTTGTAAACGTTGAAATATTTTATCCAATAAAATAAATTACCTCACCCACACAAATTTTAATAACCCATCGTACAAGTCTTTTTGTTTAATACTATTATTGCCGAGTTTAGAAGAAGAAGAAAAAAATAGTTGCGTTGCGTGAACGAGGTAAATATCTGAAGGGAAACCTACCAGCTGCACACTTGATGACGAAAAGCCCGAGTTCCGCAAAAAGAGCTGACCTGTTACACAAGATGTCCATTATTTCTGTAGTTTTTTTTTGTTTGTTTTTTTCCCACCTGCATCACTACAGTTATAAGTGTCTGATAACGTGAGACCAAAGTCATCTGTTACTTGCGACCGTACCGTTAGGCATCTCGGACGAAAATGTTTTACACAACTTGCATAATATGGCCACCTGCTGCAGTTTGTTCTTTACGCTAACATTTAAACATCATTGCAATAAACAAACAAAGAACTATTCTAAAGCAAATACTCACTTCAAGTTGTTACTATACAAACAATATATAGAGTTGTGTGTAGTTACACATTGTCTAAATTCTGTATTAGATGAGGGTGCTGAAATCGCAATCTGTGGGTCATGGGGCTCGAATCCCCGTCACCGTACACGCTTGCTCTTTCAGCCGTGGGGGCATTATTATGTTATGGTCAACCCCACTATTCGTTGGTAAAAGAGTAGCCCAAGAGTTGGGGGGGTGGGTGGTGTTGACTAGCTACCTTCCCTTTAGTCTATCACTGGTAAACTGTGGACGGTTAGCACAGATAGCCCTCGTTTAGCTTTGGCGAAATTCTAAACGAGCCAAACCAATCATGTTGATAACTTTTAACTAAATGTTTTCTATTTATGAGAGAGCGTATGATAACTGTACGAGAAAATAAGGTAATAATCTTTATCCTGTTACACAGTAATTAACTGGAAGCCATGATTGTTTGTTTTCAATTTAGTTTTTTATATCTTATAAATTTAGAACTTATAAACAGTGCATTAAGTGTCACGTTTTTCTGTTTGATCGCGTTACAAACAGATATCCTGTCATTCTTTTAATTACAACCAACGTTTAGAAAGTTGTAGAAAGTTTGATTTTAAAATATTAAACGTTATTTTTACATTTTTCACACGGTATTAGTATTTCGCTTATTACATTTTACGCACTACATTCTTGGTCCCTTAGGGATTTTCAATAATTAGAAGAGTATATAATAATGAACTTATTTTATTTCATAGTATTTCAAAAATAATTACAAAGCAAATTGATGAATCTTTAAATACAAACTCTACCTAAAGTTTTTCTGTAGTGAAACAGTATGTAGCTGTCTATCTAGTACTTACTTTATTTCTACGGGTTAGTTTTCCATAACTTGTCGTGGAAAAAATGACTTTGAAAAACTTCTTTATATATCTTGAGCAGACTCCTGTTGACCATTGAAATGCAATGTTTGTTAACCATTCACTAATAATTCTGTGCGAGAAGGTAGTAGATTGTATGAGCGTTCAGTTTCAAAAGTAAGAAATACAAAAGCTTTTATAAACTTTTTTATACCTGTTAATTTCTCTTTTCCCTATCAATAAAGTAAAGGCAAATTAACTGGGGGGGGGGCTTAGAATTAACTTCTAATAATAAAACAAGTGCGTTACTTTACAGAAAAGTCCCCTTTCTTTCCGGGTGGCTCAGCGGCAAGTCTAAGGGCTTACGGCGCTAAAAATCAGGGTTTGATACAAGCGGTAAACAAACAGATAGCCCAAAATATAAAAAGGACATTTCTTTATTTTCTGTCTTATATATGAAATTACATACTTGCAGTGGCAATGGCATTTAGGTATCAGCAGGAACACCATCAAAAATACATTTAACTAAAACTACAATTTTGAATTATTCTTTGCCTTAAAACAAACTACTTGCCTAGCTCCCCAGTCTTCCACTATCTTTCTGTCACACTGTCTCTTTTATTAAGATTAAGAACTACTTGCCTAGCTCCCCAGTCTTCCACCATCTTTCTGTCACACTGTCTCTTTTATTAAGATTAGGAACTACTTGCCTAGCTCCCCAGTCTTCCACCATCTTTCTATCGCAATATATATTTTATTTGATATAAACAATAATATATCAGTTTCATGACATTTTATAGAATATTTATTATGCTCTCTTTATTAAATTAAAAAGCGTGAGCCCAGACAGAAATTTTGTTTTATCATGTGCAAATTACTAGAGACAAAAAAATATGGTCAAACAAAATGTCTCTTCGTGTCAGGTTGACTTAACAAATGTGTCTAAGATGTTAGTGTAAATTTTGGAATTTTTATAGCCCAAACTTTTTTTGCTTCAATGAAGTAGATATTTTTAGTTGTTACATATTCATGTAGAAAAATATCATAATACATCCAGTGCCCCCCAGTGGCACAGCGGTATGCCTGTGGACTTTCAACGCTAGAATCCGGGTTTCGATACCCGTGGTGGGCAGAGCACAGGTAGCCCATTGTGTAGCTTTGTGCTTAATTACAAACAAACAATACATCCAGTTTATTAAAATAGTTAAAGCTGTTAATTCCGAAACAATAAATATGACATTATAATAATAGTTAAATATAAACATTGGAAAACTAAGAGTTTGGGAAACACGTTTGTGGCTGAGAAATATGTTCGAAGTTTTTTAATGCCAAAATAAGAGTTTTTAGTACCAGCATTGGGCAGAGCACAGATAGCCCATTGACCAGCTTCGCGCTTACAACAAACAGAAAATTTGCCCCTGGTAGCTCCGTAGTAAGTGTGTGGACTTATAACGCTAAAAATCGAGTTTCAACACCTGCAGTGGGCAAAGCACAGATAGCCCACTGTATATCTTTGTGTGTAACCTGTTTTATTATTTTTGTTTTAATTACTTTTAGATACTAATTAGTTAGAATTATCCAATTATTTTTTTGACTATATTTTATTCGATGTTTACCTCCGCCACCGAAGGAGACGGAGAATATGTTTTCATCCATGTGTTTGTGTGTGTGTGTTTGTTTGTCAGCAAGATTTCTCAAAAACAGCTGAATGGTTTTGAATGGAAGTTGATATACATTTAAACTATGATTAGTTTTATGGAGGGTCAAGATCAAAGGTCAATGTCACAAACAAGGTTACGAAAATCCAAAAAAATCCTATCTGTTAACATGGGGACCGAATTTTCACACTGTTTTTACTCTACAACTCAGTCAAAAATGATCGAATTTTGAAGAAACTTGGTGGAAATATGTAGAATTTTATTCTTCATTGTCCTGCCGAAAATGGTCCGTATCCCCGTGATAACGACGGACATACGGACACATCTTTATATTTTTTGAGAGCCGAATATGATCAACAGTGCGTGGCGGAGGT